CCTACATGCGCAGGCACCCCCCCGGGCGGTACCGGTTACCCCCGTTATTTTCAGCCCCTTTTTGCCAACAATCCCCCAAAAAGCTGATCGCTACCGGCCTTCTGGGGACCCACAGGGCTGCACATGATGGTGACAGGCTCTGCAACAACAACAGATCAAATAAAACCCCCCAAATTTCTTACCTGCTGCCTCCTGGCCGGCATCGGTCCCCAGCAGGTACCAGGGATGTTGGTCGGTCAGGTCTTGCACGGGTTTGTGTCGCATTTGCGCTTCCTCAGTTTCAAGCGGACAAGAGTTACTTTCTGCAGCTACAATGGCATCACAAGGCCGGCTCTTTCACCCGCTCCTGCCCCGAGGCAGTGGGAACCGCTGGGCCTCACTCACCCCGGATTCCGCTCCCCCCCGCCCCCCATGTTCTCAGGCAGCTCCCACAGGTTGCAGCTCAAGGATTTTATCTGTTACTACAAGTTGTGGGTGTATGAACACCCACTCTGCCCAGAAAGCAAGGATATATGGACTGGGAAGATGGGCTGATGAGAAAAATATACAGTTTGGGCTTTTTTGGACAGCCTTTTCAATTACATTTTAAAAAACTTGCCTATCAGTCAAATTCTCTCAAAGTTAATGAACCTATGCTTTATTTTTACATGTTATCCCCTTTTATTTTTACTAAAAGGGCAGAGCGGTTTAAGTTCATTGCCTCCACTGGTAAGACTTTTCTTACCATCCTACATGTTTTGCAATGATTATAGCTCTTTCTCTCCTACATATGTCCAAAATCAGATAAGTTAGAATAGGTTCCCACATCCTCACCGAGCCCTAGAGCACATTAGAGCCTCATCTGCTTTTTTTACAGTTCCATTTTAGGTCACATCCTTCCTACTAGATCTTAAAGCAAAAACTCCCTTTCCACTCCCAGTGAAGTCTGCTGCTTCTGTTAATCCCAGTGTTGTGCTTTTTGCTAAAACAGGTCAACATTACCACTTTCTCTCTCACTGTGCAGGGCAGGATGCTCTGTACTAGTGTCATGGTCTCTTTCTGCAAGCTCCATTTTGTGTTTGCTCTTCCCAGCTGCTGAGATTGTACCTTCCCTTGGGTCCTGGCTCATAAGGAGTGCCCACATACACTCATTAATTAGTCTGAGAGTGCTTGTGGGAGTGAATGGACTGGGCAACCCTGCTTTCTCCTGCCCTCTCTTTCCCCCAGCATAACCCCAGTATTTATTTACCTGCTTTTGGACAAGGCGTATCCAAAACGCTGACCTTTTTTCTTTCTTTCATGATCTTCATGCCTCTTCTGAGAAGATGACAGCCTGTCTCCTAGGACAAAGAATCCAGCGCAAGGCAGTCTCCCCTCCTGCTCAAGGGGGGCAACACTGAAAAAGAACATGCAGGGTAAAGTCCCTCAATGATTAGGGGATTCTGGGCCATCACAGTTTCTCAGTGGCAGTCTGGCAGACTCAATACCCCAGGTTGGGGCTCATTCCTGTGGTCCCCCTCTCGCATACGCAGTGTCCTGTCGGTCAGACAGCCATGTCCCTACCAGTCAGGAGCCAAGGGATTTCTACCCAGTACCCCCAAAATGTACCCTTGTCCTACCTGCCATAGCGGAACAGGAATTCTTGTGTGGAGTCCCCTATGGTGCAGATGAGCCTCCAATGCCATTTTAGAGAGGTAACATGTACTTGTGCTTTCAGGCGCAGCTTGCACTGACATGGACCTCGTGTCCTCCGTGATGCAAAACCTCACGCTCTTGGAACAAAAACTAAAGAAACAAGCACAAGAAATCCAACTGAAGGTAAAAATCCTGCCCCTTACTGAACCTGTTCTGTGCCCTGCTTTGACGGCTGAAGCCACAGTAGCATTACACCTGCTCAGACCTAGTTTGGGCTAAACCAAGTTAATCTGTAGCCTGCTCTGTTAATTACACAAACAAGAAAGCAACAGAGAAATTGTATCAGTTCTTGGGGTGGGAGAGTGGACAGTCCTTGCTGTGAGTTCTCCGAGACTCTCTGCACCCTTTCACTGATATCATTAGCAGTTTGGCTTCAGACCTTTCTTTTCTTCCTTTTGCTTTCTGAAACAACAGCTGCTCATACAGCAGAATCATCCTGGAGCAGACCTCTTCAGATTCCTGCAGCTTAGAATAAATACCCTTTCTTTTCTTTGAAGAGGTGGCTGCAGAGATGCTGGTTTCATTTCTAGATCAGCCACTTACTGCAGGTCAGAGCATGAGCTGTGCCTGAGCAGGAAGCACAGGGCCGCAAGTCCCCGTGGCTGCCTACAGCTCTTGTGCAGATGGAGGAAGGGGACATAGGTCAGCGTGTCCCTCTGCTATTCTTGGAGCTGTGTATTTATATCCCACCCCTCATTTGAGTCTAATTAAGGTATTTGTGAGGTGATGCAACCTTTCTGACCCTTATTTTGCCTGTCTCCAAGTGGGGTGAGAGTACATGCACCACTGACTCACCCAGCCAGGACTAATTATGCAAACTGTGCTGCAAGGTTCTGAAGGCCAAGGAACTAAACATGGTCATTATTTGTTCTGGTCCTGAAGGATAGGAGGATTGCTGAACTTGAAGAGAAGATGAAGACTCTTCAGAAAGGAGAAGGTAAAAATTGTTCTATCCTTGGCACCTTGATTCTACCTGTGGGAGAGCTACAGAGCTCCTGGTACTGCAACAGAGCAGGCTCGGAGACCTCTCTGAGCCACCCTTGCCTTAAAAGCCTGAGAGCCTCTTCAGTGAGCCGTATCAGTTACGCACACGTGGTACCGTCTGCCAGAGCAGATCTGCACTTTGTACTTGCATCTGTTAGGCGGGTTTTCTCATGCAGTACAAAATGTTATTTCCTGACCTATTTTCTATGGGTTACTAAGTTTCCACAAGCATAGACCAACCACACAGATACCTGAGGACGGTCAGAAAAAAAGAAAGGTAAATACTGCAGAGTTCGAACAGGGTGGAAAAACAGAGCCACTCACAGCTAAGCGAAACTAAAAATCTACTTGGAGTCTCGAACAGGATTACAGGTTCAGGCTCACTTGTCCTGTAAGGCAGCGTAACTCTAAATTGAACCCAGCTTTGAGGGAGTCACTGAAGAAGGTCTTTCCCCCCATTCAGTTTCTTGGAATCCAGCAGCTCTTCAGCTGAGCCCTAACATATTTCCTACAGTGGCTAAACTACCTTGTTAGCCCAAAGCTGTGATAAGTTCTCCATTTCCTGAGCAGAGCATAAGAACATGCCTGTCAAACCACAAACATATTGTTCTAGCCATTCAGCTGGATCCAGCTTTAGTGGATTTAGAGATGACTTGCTCATTTTTTTAGTAAGTCCCTTAAGACTGAGTAAGCCAAGCAATTCCCATTGTACAATTGCAAACAGCACTGCTCACATCAGCTTCCCACGGCAGTATCATTCATAAAACTTCACCAGTATCATTCACAACTATATTTTAGTCTATCGGCATCTTTATCAAACTGCTGCAGGTTGAATCGTCAGGTACCAGCACGCAGAGCTCATGTTCAGCTCTTGTGTTGTACAGGCTTGAGTTCACTCAACGGTACAGGCAGGTACTGCTGGGTCATCTGCACTGTGTGACACGGGTTATTTATCAGACTTCTTTAAGGCTGTACATAGAAAAAGCAAGTCTTCCCTTTCAGATGCTCCTGACCCATCCACAGCAGAGGAACTGGAAACTAGGTGCCTACAGCTGCAGACCCAGGTCTGGGAGATGGAGGTGAGACGCTTGCCCTAAGCCATCTGCACCTCTGGTTTGAGATCATCGCAGTCCCAGGCTGCTTGGTCTTTTTCAAGCTGCCACTTTGATCATCACAATTCTTCACCTCACCCCTCTGAAAAGAAAGAATAGGTTGGGTGTGAGTTACAGGGCAGTTAGTTTTTTTTCTAATACACAAACATTTGTGCCTCCTGCAAGCCTCTTCATTTTGATTTCTCGGACTGTAGAAATATTCTTTGCAGCTACTACAGTCTTGGGAGATTACTGTGTCGTTACATATACTTTCATTCTCCCTTTTGCCTGCTACTAGTAGAGCTGCTACTACTATCCTGCCAGTGAGTCTGTTGGTCTGCCAGGGCCAAAAAGCCCCAAGACAAACCTTCTCTTTCACCTCCCTTTCTGCTTCTCAAAGTCACAGCTGACCACTCTCAGGCTTCTGTGTCTAGTTTTCCGAAGCTCTGGTATACAGTGCTGATTTGCGCTTTGCTCTCACAGCGGTTTCTAAATGACTATGGTCTGATTTGGGTTGGAGAGAGACATGAACAGCTGGAAGATTTAGAATCGCTCAAGGATGAAGAAGAGCTGCCAGCAAGGAGCCTATGGAAGCCAGGTAAAGCACCAGCATTCGTTGCTGAAGCAGCTATCCTAGCTCCTGCTGCGTGCTTAGAGGATGTATAATACTCCCCCAGAGTAGATAAGCATCTAAGACCCAGAATTAGGGTCTTCAGAATTTGTGATCTTGTGCTGAGGTCTTCACACCCGTCCATCTCAGGGACGGAGCTTTAGAGCAATTTCACTGGCACTAAGCTAGGCAGAATGTTGGTATTTTATATACGTACATTTTGTAAACCCCATCTAGGGGAAGGGGAGAGAACCCGATGGCTCAGCCATTTGGAAGGATACCCTCGCAGTAGCTGCTTCCAGAAGAGTTCCCATACTCTAAACATTTGAAGCTTGATTGCTGTAATAACATTGACGTAAAATGAGGGGAAAATGGAATCAGATGCTTTGTGTATATAGTAGCTGTAGTAACTTACCCATATTGTCTGGCTCTACCAGAGAGTATTGTTTGCCTTTCCTCCCAACCACCACGTGAGTGGTTTAATTGAGACCTGATTGTGCTGTATGGGGTCCAAGCATATTTGGCAACGTCTTCTTAGGAAGCGGTAATAGAGTAAAAAAAAAAAAAAAGACTAATATTTGGGCTGTACAGCTAATGCTGCTTCCTAACCACCATGCAAATATTAGCTAACTAATCCTTCCCTCCCTTGGATAGGTAGAAGAGGAGGGAAGCAGTAGAAATAATTTACATTGTTTTCAGCTCACCCTTTTTAAGGGAGGTTTCCTTGCCCTCCTTTATCAAATCGTAAAAAAGCAGAACAGAAAATACCAAAGGCTTTACCTCTGCCTATACCTCTTCTTTCATTTCCTCTTCTGATTTCATCCTTCTGCCCCATCACACCTCTTCTACTGCTTCACCCTCCCACCCTTCTCAAGCACCCAGATAAACATCCTCAGCAGTGCCCCAGCAAGAGCGAGCAATCTGCTGGTGGCAAGCAGCAGGCAGCCAGCTGTGTTTGCACTGGCATTTCTTCAGCTAGTCTGCCCTGATCCATTTATCCTATCTAGTTAATCTGACTAGTTAAGTTCCTCACTCTGTGCATTTTACAGCACCACATTAAGGGACGACACAACACTTCTGAAATTACAAAGAGACGGAGCCGAGTGTGGTCCCTAAAGAGCTGGCTGCATCTGTAGCTGGCTCTGGCGCTGTATTAGCTTGTAGCAAGAGGGTTGTTTTCCTGCTGCCCTGCCCTTGTGGTTTTGCACACACCCATGTAAACCTGGCAGTGCTGCACCACAGCAGCCCTGTTGCACCACACTTTGCAAAAGTGCAAAAGGCAAAGCATGGAGAGGCACCACATACAGCCCCAAAGCATTAGGACTCATAGGCACCTCGAACACATCCACACAGAGGTGAAAGCTGCTTAGCTGGCATCCCCTTCCCCCTCTAACTCTGATCCCTCTGCTGCAGGTGAAGCAGTTGTTTCCAAACACCAGATTGATTTTGATTTAATCTTGGAAAACGTGAAGGATTTGAATGTGCTGGCTGGAGAAGGTGTTTCTCAAATCGAGCACACGCCTGGGGGTGCCCGGCTGAGACAGCCAGAACCCCTCCCTCTCACGCTGTATCAAAATGGGATTGTCATGTTCGACGGACCCTTTCGGCCCTACGAGGACCCATCCACACAGGTACGGAAAGGTCTGTAGAGGAATTGGACTTAGAGGCTCCCTGCTGTCATTCACTAAGCCTCAGGAAAGGGAATGTGTGGGAATAAAACTTGTGAGCTCATCCCAGTCCTAAAAAGGAGCAGTTACTGAGACCTCCAGCTTCTCTCCTGCGTTCCCCTGGTGCCTTTAAAGACTAGTCTGTCTTTGTGTAGTAATTTTTAGAGATGGAGATTCTGGGTCTGTTATGCAGACTTTTTTTTTTCATGCCAATAACAACACTTATAGGAGCAGCTCAGAATGAATATATCAGTCATGAAGCAAATAGAAAGTCTGAGGTACGACCGTGAGTTCTCATTTTGTTTCAGCAATGCCTGCAGGATATTATGGATGGCTATTTCCCTTCAGAGTTGCAGATGCGCTACCCAGATGGCATCCCTTTGCAGGTAAGCAGAGCAAAATCCTATTAATAATTTTTTTTGGAAGAAATTGCTCTCTTGGCTCTCAAGAAAATTGTTCAGATTTCTTTCACCAATCGGTTGGACGCTCCCAACAGCAAATTAAGTTTGAGGTTTCTGAACACAGCATACACGCAGCTTAATTCTGTGCATGTTTGTCTCGGGGAAAGGGTGGCTGGGAGCACACCTGCTAGAGCCGTTACAGGAAGTTAAGCGAGCATTTCGGCATCAGGACCGAATGGTTTCTCTGCCTTGGTGAATCTTGGCTTGGAACAAGACTTCTAAGAGCACAGCAGGCTTTGTAGAAGAGAAGTAGCACATGCAGCCTCTGAAGAGCTGCGTAACGAAAAGGAGAAAAAAAAAGTTCTCAAATAGTTCCCTCGGAAAAGCTTTTACAAAGAGATTGAACAAGTGTCTCTCAAGGAGGATGTTGGGAGAGCTTATTTTGCCACAATTTAAATGGATTTGGCCACCTGAGGTTCTTCTGGGCCCCACTTTTTGATTTCTCAGAACTGGCAAAAAGCCAAGGCCGCATTTTCAGGCAGAAAGAAGGCAGAGAGCCTCAGGGAACTCTAATCTAGGTCTTCAAGTGCATCCGAAATGTAAGCAGGCACAACCAGAGGGGGTGCGCCTACCCACTGCCACGAAGAAAGCAGGGCACAACTGCATGGGCGCGTATGAGGTCAGGACAGCCAGAGTGAGCTGGCAGTTGTGGTAGTTAGGGAGTCAGGTGGAAGAGGAAGGAACGTGCAGGGCTCTTGTGGCTGTGGTTCCCTATAATGTGTGCATAGCTGGCCACATATGGAAGCCACAGGACAGTACAGTAACCTGGGGTAAATACAGACACAGAGTGCATCCACGGCCATCCAGGTGGAAGAGGAACATAAGTGGAACCCAGACAGAAAGACCACTCCTGTTTATACAGCCTTCCCCACTGCTGGGGCCCTCAGGGTAGCACTCTGCCTTGGTCTGTTAGAGCCATCTGACAGTCCCCACTGCAGCTTCTTACTGCCAAATCCCTCTCCACCCCCAACCTGCTGCTTTCACATCACTTTCCACCTGGAGAGTGTTTTCAAGTGTGGAAGCAGACATGGAGGAAAGGTCAAGTCCAAGCACATTTTTTACAACTCGTGGAAAGGAGCAGCTGCCCAGTGCCTGTTGAGATGGATGAACAACTACCCTGCGGTCTGGGTGGGCCATCCAGGGGACTTGGTGGATCTGCCAAGATTTGCTTTGTTAGAGCCTATAGGAGCTGAAAATGCATTTCATTGAGTTTGGACAGCTGGAGCAGCTTCCACGGAAGCAGCTCTCTTGGTTTCATTTGGGGTTTACAACTCTTGGTTGTTGTTGCTGTGGTTTACTGTGCTCTGATGCAAGTGAGAACAAGCTTGTGCAACAGTCAGATTTGCTTATGGCAGTCGGCCTTAATTCAACAGGTCACTGACAGAAGGGATGTGGTATTTCGGGAGAGAGACCTTCCAGGGAGTTTTCCTGGCCATGGCCAAGTGGTTGGCCATTCAAAATCAAGTGAGGTGCAGGAAACCGCTGAGATCCCAGGTAAATTCTTAAGCCTGCCTAAAAAATGCCACTAACTCCCAAAGAGGAGAATCAAAACCTTACCGGGGCAGTCCAGCTGGTAAGAGGGGAACGTGTAGGGTCTCAGGGAAGAAAGCAGCACTTCTGGGTCCGAGCCCTGCGCTTGTAGCCCCAGTGTTGCTTCAGGAGCCGGCAGCCAGGCAGCACACGGTGTCCTCTCATCATTAAATCCTCCTAAAGAATGAAACATGACAAATAATAAAAGACCAGAAGATCAGTGGGTTTCCAAAAACATATGTGCCCTGTGCCTTTCTGAAAGGCCAAGCTCCTTTTAGCTTCCCCTTTATCAGCAAAGGATGCTGAGGGAACCTTGCAGATTGGGGGTGGGGTAGCTTGCAACCAACCTTCAGTTCTCCTACAAGCTCATTCCGTAAAGGTGGACATCTTCAAGCCAGACTGATCTTAACCGTACCGAATATGAGATGATTCCTCTTCAGACTTTCATAAGAGAATATGGGACATAAGGTGAGGCCACAGGTTCCTCATTTTGCTTCTAGACTCTAGCAGACTGTGTAAGAAATGTCATAATTGGATAATCAAATGCAGTCAGTCACATAGACAGAAACCAGTGGGTTTGTGCATGCACAACTAAATAACCCAAACAAATGTATTGCCCATCAGCAACATCTTGCTATTTATATAAAACTGTACTGCTTGCTCATTCATCTCAAGGCCATTCACAAACAGAAGCTGTGCTAAATATTTCCTTTATCCAAGTAGTTAAAAAAAAAAGAAAAATTGCCACAGAAAAAGGAATGGACACCTACCAATACACCCTCACAAGATGAAAAACTTTCCAAGCCTGTAAAAATTGTCATAGTCTGTTTTTCCTGTTCACAGCAGGGCTGATGAGGTTTCTACCTGTCGTGCAGCCCAGCTGTGTGCTGAAGAGGCTGCATAGTTGCTCACTGTTGATGTTGACAATCAAACATTTAGTGGGCCAGAAAGTGGGACAAGCTTCAATGGGGGAGATCAAGAGCCAGTCTCAGCCTAGCTAGGGAAGGTTAGAGCTCTCCCTGTCGGCTGTTATGCTCTCACGTTTCACCAAATCGGCCTATTCTGGGGAAAAAAAAACATTTGTCAAAAAGGTCTCACGTGGACACATCTCCTCTCTGCTCTGGCAGGTCCCAAACTCTCCTTGGAGCAGCTTCTCAACAAGTTTTCTAAGTCCTCAAAACACGGAGAAGTGATTGGTGTCCAAGGCTCAGCCGGAGCAGTGCAGCAGGTACGAGTGGACCCCTCAAACACCCATAGGATGAAGTGGGCAGCAATTCCCTGGGCTCAGCGCCCTGCACAGCACCGTACCCCCTCCTCGGGCCTCTCAGCTCTGCATAACCTCCTCTTCCCAGAGTGGCTCCACCAGAACACACGTGGCACTTTGGCACCCGCTCCTGGGTTTTCCTGGCACTGGTTGCTCTCTGCAGAGCAGGCAGCAGTGACACTCACCTGGTTTGGTTTCAGGGCTCTGGTGGGGTGCGGAGCAGCGAAGAGATCCTGGTGGAGACACCCAGACTGTCTGCCCTGGAGAGGTACCAGCACGGCCCCTTCATCCCTGCCCTGTCAGGCACTCTCTCATCTTCCTCCTATTTCATCACTGACGGTTTATTTCAGGGGTTTCAGTTGAGGAAGTAAATAGACTCACCCCTTTTATAGCTTAGAAATAATTACCAAAAAAAAGCCAAGTTTGATCTTTTGGGAAGACCACTGAACTGTTCATGGTAAACCTGCCATCATTTACGTCTCTAACAAAAGCTTCTGTTGTTCAAAATATTACTTACTTATTGCTGTGAAATACTTTTCCTGACAGCAAGCCAAGGCCTAAGAGTTTGAAACCATCTAAAAAGCTGTTTGTGATCATGTCAAACGGGAGAATTCCTCCAGGAAACTGATGCCCAAGTGGGAGGTCACACTAACAACACTTTTCCACTCATAGTCTTCTGGCAAGACAAGACCCAAATAGCTAATGAAAAAACCCCAAGCAGATTATTTTTAATCAAAAAACTAGGACGAAGTACTTACCAGACAACCCTGATCTAAAATGAAGAAGCTAAAAAAGGTCAGCAACCCTCTTTCCAAGGCACCTTTAAGCAGGGAAAGCAAAGCAGGAGTTTGGTCCATGGGCCAGTCTGCTCACCCGCAGTCAGACTGGGCATCTTTCATCTCAGGGACATTCCTAAACATGAAACTCCTCTCCCCCTGTTCGGACCACCCTGGCAGCTCACAGGCTCTGCCGCTGGCTGAGCCCTCACTCCTCAGCTGACGAGGTTTTTTAACCTCCAGGGCGAAGACGGCTGAAGAGGCCGAAGCTTCTGCCCCCGATGTCTGCACCCTCCGCATCAAATCTGAGAGTGGGGAGCAGATGTATATTGTAAAGATGCTGTTCACAGAGACCATAGGGGACCTGCGCCAGCACCTTGCCCATGCCAGGTAGGCCTGGGACTTCCTCCCCTCCTCGCTCCGTGGAGCCCCAGGGAAGGTTTCTCGGCTGCGGCTGAAGGCCCTGGAACTGTGCCTCAGACAGATCAGCCTGAGCTGAGCAGGCTGAGGGTTACAGTCCCAGCCCCAGGAGTTGCTGGGCACCCTTCTGCTGCTTTGGCTCCACCACCAGAGATGTCCTCTGGGCAGTGCTGCCAGGGTCACACTTCACTCAGAGCATTTAATCCCCACCTTTCCAAAAAAGCTGACTCAGCAGCAGAGATAAGCCTCTTTTGTCCTCTGAAAATTGTCATCTGACCCAGGTCCATCACTGCCTTTGCCTCCTTCCAGCTGCTCAGCAGCACTTCCCTATTACCAGCATTCCCAAGGCGCTGATGGAGCCTGGAAGCTGCGCTGCAGTTTCCAGCTTGGCTGATGGATCTGCTGCTGGACAAACACCACCCTTTCCTCAGCCAGCTCTATATCCCAACACACTCAATGCTGCTCAAGGGCGCTGGGGACGGTTCCAGATGGTTGAGGGGTCCCCTCTGCTCTCCCCTCTTCCCACTGCTGTTGAAGGCCACAGCTCTGGCCTCAGTCAGAGCCCACGATGAGCTCACTGCTGTTGGGATGCAAGAGCCTCGCTCCCCGCTGCAGCTGTGCAGCCTGGAATGGCCGCTCTGTGCCTGGCTGTTCGTAGTTTGGGCAGGAAGCCCTTTTTTCTGCTCAGCCTGTGCTTGTGAAACAGTCTCTCCCTCTGCTCTTACCTAACCGCAGCTGGATCAGCCAGAGCATCTCAGCAAAACCTTGGGGGATCCTCTATGTAGGAAAGATTGTGCTGTTCTTTCCTAGGGGTGGAGACTCCGACTCGTATGAGATCATCAGTACCTTTCCCCAGAGGGTGTATGCAGACAACTCCAGGAGCCTGCAGGAATGTGGCCTGATCCCCAATGCCTCCTTGCTGCTGCGGAGAAGAGACCCCTCCCAACAAGAGGGAACAGGGCTGCAAACAGCCTAACAGCAAAAGCTGCTCACCCCAAATTCTGCAAGAGGAAGGAGCTGCCTCGCACCATTAGCTGTGTTATAATCTCCCCTGGCTGGGAAAAGAGGAGAGGGTTGTCTTTCCAGATTTAGTTTCATTGCGCCGTTACCCGGGATGGAGAGAAGAGCTCAGAGGCAGCGGGTGCCAGGCCCAGTCCTGCTGCCTCACAGGTGGATCCTTTTCCCCAAGACAGGCGGGTTCCTAACACAGGGGCATCGCTGTCAGCTCAAACCCAAGGCCTGCTTTCTCACCTCTGCTGAAGGTTACACTGACTGATCCCTGCCCAGGGAAAACCGCCGGCTTTACACTGCTACCAGGCAGTTGCTTAGCTGGGCTTAGGGATTCTCTATAGCAGCAGGACAGACAAACAACCAGGGTCAATTTGCTTTTCACACACAGCTGCTCCCCAGAGATTTCAACTGCACTCAGACCATGAGAGAAACAGGCTCAGTTATACTGTCCCCGGTGAAGCTAAACCAAAAGGCCCTGAGCCATTGCAACGCTGGGACTGAGCCAGACCCATCTCAGCCAGGAGATCCTGCTACTGGGTTTCCTGTACGTGAACAACTCCTTTTCCCTTGGACAGCCCCCAGCTCCAGCAGGGCCCCGGCTCCCAGCCACGCAGAGCCCGCCTGCAACAGCCCTGAGCCGCCAGCCTCCCTCCCTCCCTCGGCAGCTGGATGCTGCAACAGGACACCATGTCATTGGAGAAGAGGATAATCCCTTCGCTGCTTCTCTGCTGAAGCCGGAGTAAAGCATCCTCCTCCCTCTCCTGTGGGCTGGGGCTGTGCGTTGCAGGCCCCTTTTCCCAGCACATTCTTCCTGTTTCAACTGTGACAAGCTCCCACTTGACTCCCAGCTGACGACACTCCCACTTGTGCGAGGCAGCGCCTTCTGGCAGGTTCCCTTTTAGCAGAGACCCAGCCCTCATTATAGGCTCCCAATAAAACCATTTATTTAAGTTGCAATTTCCGCTTCCGTTAAGATTTCAAAGGCACAGTTGCTGTGGAAGGGAGCAGGACACCCAGAACACTTCCCAGAGCCCTCTGACCAGAGCTGGACCCTGCACAACTCAAATACAGGCAGCGCCACTCGTGCAAACCAGCTGCTTCCACAGGTTCCCTGTGCCCAGTGACTCAATCCCCACTGCTTTAAGTTAGCTTCCTCCTTTTTCCACCTGTAGCAGGTATAGTAGTGTACAGGGGACCCTCCTACAGGGCAGCGTTTTCCACTGCCCCCCTATATCCTGGTCTATAACCGACCAGGTAAGACTTTGTGCCAGGGGTTTGTTTTTTCAACTCCTATGTCTGGGCTGAAACTCTCCCTCCCCGAGGCTGCCATTCTTACCCCACAGAGAGGAATGGTACCTGTCACTACCACACTGTAGGATATTCAGACAAGTCCTGTGAGCCTTTGATTAGCGGCAGCAATCTAAGATCTTTGTGTCAGGCTGCAGCAGCGAGTACAACTGACTCAGTTTCTCTAAGCTGGAAATGACTCAGAATCATTACGCAGGGTGATGCTTAACCTGTAGTCAAAATAAAACCAAATTTAAAAGAAATGCACAAGCACTGACGTGAAAGGTACAGTAACATTTAATAGCATCTCGGAAGACAACACTGGTTATAAACTTGCTTTTTGGCAGGAAAACAAAATGCACTTGGTCCGGGTTGCAAAAAAGCCAACTCAAAGAGGAAAGATAAGACAGCTGGAGCATCAGCTGTTCTGGAGCAGCCCTGAGCCATTAACGCTCGCGAGGGAGCCCTGGCACCGCATCATGGCAGAGGGCAGACGGAGCAGCACAGGTCACTTCTAGGCCCATCCATCCCCCCGGGCAGCCTGCTGAGTGACACCAGCCTTCGCCCCCGGCCTTCTCCGTGGTGGGTGGTCAGACCCCAGCTTTGTGCAGTATTTTTGCATTAAATTAGAACAAACAAAAAAAAAAAAATCAACTTAGTTGCCATAATCTCTGAAGTTGAGATAAAAAAAAGAGAAAGAGGAAGTGAGGCAGCAGGATTTACAATTTTAACAGCAACTGGGAGAAGTGGGAAGTAACACGCAACCCTAAGCCCTTCCCTCCTGAAGCAGAAACTCTCCCTGCAGAGGAGAGGGCTGACGGACAGCTGCACTTCACACAGCCCCAGAGGCTTTGCTGTTTACAGAGGCACTGGAAGCTGCGGTGTGAGCCAGGCCCAGCTTTGTTCAAAGGCCATGCGCAGCGAGCGTCAGACTTTCTTTGGATCCCTCTGAAATGATTATCAGGGTTAGGCAGGAGGGAATTGTAGGCAGCTGCAATGAGTAGTTTTGGTCATGGGTTTCCCTATGCTGGGATACAGGTCACGGTGCCAGGACAGCGCTGACAACCTGGAAGTAAAGGTGGTCGGAGATGAGGGTGCTCAGGAATGCAGGTAGAGTCCAGGACGGCAGGGGAGCCTGGGGCTCAGGCCAGCTTCAGGAACTCCTGCAGGGTGTTTTGCTCCACTGCTTCCACAAAGAGCTCGTAATCCTGCAGGGAAAAGCCACGCGGTCACTCACCAGGCAAGAGTGAGAGGTACGCTCCCACCAGTTAGGCAGCACGGGGTCCCCTGAGCACGCAGCACAAACTGGTTCACAGCACAGGTGACAGTCACAGAGAGGATGACAGGGCAAAGCGGGGACAGCCCCGCACAGCACAGCCCCTACCCACTGTCAGCCAGACTCCCCCTGCCGGGGTCCCATTTTTCACAAGCCAGTGCACTCCAAATGCCCGTTAACCCTGACAGCACCTTGTCTACGCACCTCAGAAGTGCCTTCTGAAAGGCATCTTGACAGCATTTGTAGCAAAAACAAGGGGACAGGATTATTGCCCACCACCCAGCCTCCACGGTACTTATTCCCAGTGCAGAGCATGAGCCTTACCCCGCAGTAGTGATCTCCGTTGACAATCTGGGGTGGGATGGCTTTGGGGTTGCCTGCCTTCGCCCTCATCTCCTCCCGGAGAGCGTTGTCCTGGGAGATATCCACCAGCTCGTACTTGATGTTTTTCCCATCGAGGATTCTGGTTACTTCACTCTGTTGGGATTTGATCTGGAACCCGGGCGGGAAAGGCAGGTTATGGGGAGCCGGAGAGGAGCCCAAAGGGCGGGCACGCATGCTAGCCACACTCAGCACAGCGCTCACGGAGCAACGGGCCACGCTCCAGACCCCACCTGGCCACGGGGCTCGGTCCTGTGGAGGCGGGGGGGGACACGGAGGACGACACCCAGCACGGTGGGATGGATTCGGGGGAAGAAGGGGATGGTGCAGCGTTAGCAGGGAAGGGGACACCTGGGATGGGGTAGGGGGGGGGGGCTTCGCAGCTCCACGGTGGAGAGCCGCCCACCCCAAGGAAGAGGGGGTTGCCCAGCCCTGCCCTGCCCCGCCGGACCTCCCACCGGCCGCTCACCTCCCGGGCTCCGGTCACCGA